CGGTGTCAGCGCGTCAGCAACCAGGTTTCAGGCTCCATCTTAGATGATTTATGTCTGATCTGGCTTAGCTTACAGACTCCTCTGCTGCCCCAGTCCTATGAGGAGCTCGTAGGGGCATTCCCAGCTATCCAACAGTGGAGGCGAACAACTCAGCAGGCTAGGAGTCCTACAGATTCTCTCTACCCCAGATCACCCCAGCCCACCCCACCCCACCCCCAGAAGCTCTTCTAAAGCCCAGAAAAAGTGTATTCTGAGCTTTATTTATTCTAAGGTAGGAGCCAATACCAACAATACTAGTCCTGACATCTGAATGTTTACAGTGTGTCAGGCACTGTTTCAATGCATTACCTCAACCAATTCTCACATTGCCGTATGAGGTTATAATTCCCCCTTTTATAGATGGTGAAGCAAAAGCTCGAGAGGGAAAGTAACTTGCCTACAGTCACTCAACAAGGAAGTGGCAGAACAGGATTCAAACCCAGGCAGTCCGTGTGCTTAACCAACAGGCTACACTGCACAGATATGGCCACTGGCTTCCACCAAGACCCCAGCACCCTCCTCTCTGCACTGGTGGTTGCTTACTGCAAACACCTGTGGTTGCCTCAGGGCTCGGTTTCTGGTTGCAGAAGCAAGCGCAGCCCATGAGCAGAGCAAACAGAAAATATCGGTGAGTTAATTCCCTTGGGAGCAGTATCCAACCAGCAATGGAAGGGAGCTCATAGGCAATATCTCATCCTCCTGTCCTTCGACAGAAAAATTCCAAGGCATGCATTCCATGCAGACTCCCAGAGTTCTCCAACAGGAGTGAACCTCAGTTGCCCACAAGGCCAGTAATATTTACTTTCCTGGCTTTATGTTTTTCCTTGCCCAACTTCCCTACCATTCCATGTGCTTCTAGGGATCATCTCCCAAATAAACTATAGTTGACATTTGAACAGCATGGGTTTGAACTGCATAGGTCCATTTGTATATGGACCATTTTCAATAAGTATATTGAAAATTCTTGTTTGGTATGGTACCATATTTTTTCTCCCTTGTGATTTTCTTCATAACATTTTCTTTTCTCTAGCTTACTTTTTTTTGTAAGAAAACAGTACAGAGGCCAGCCCAACAGCCCAGCAGTTAAGTGCTATGAGAGGAAGTTGGATACCACATGGTTGACTGTGGTTCTAATCCTGCCCCACTGGCAACACATTAGGCCCATATGCACAAATGTGGATAAGAAATGGAAGAAAACAGAGTATGGCATGACAAGGCCCATCTTGGGGTATCTCTCTCTCTCTCTTTCTCTCTCTCTCTCTGGCAGGTGCACACACTGTCTAGCATAAATTAAAACACAAAAATAAGAGGGAACAACAGGTGGCATAAGGTTAAGGTGCTGGACTCCCATGTAGTCAACCACAGTTTGGAACTCACACCAGGCACATGTGTGTGCATGCCCCAAATCCCAAGAATGAGGATGGAGGAAAAGGGATTACAGTGTGGCCATCCCCCTGGAGGGTGATTTCTCACTTTCCATCTCTCTGTGTCTCTCTGGCAAGTCCACATACCCTACAGCAAAAATCTCTCTCACATACACACAAGAGAATACAATATACATGAGGGGCCTTTTAAAAAGATCACGGAAAATGCATGGATTTCAAATTTTCTTTGTACCAAAATAAATGTGTATGCTAATTCCATTTTCTTACAAACTTTTGAAGTCCCCTGAAATACCTCTAACATATAAAATATGGGTTAATTGACTGTATATGTTCTCAGTAAGGTTGAGTACATTGTGGTCAAGAGTAGGCTACTAGTAACTGACTGTAGTGGGATCAGAAGTTTCATACCAACTTTCAATTGCACAGGTGGTCAGCACATCTACCCCTACGTTGTGCAAGGCCATGTACCACTGCCCTTGTACATGGCTCCTTATAGTCTGTTTCTGGGGGAACTCAAACCATGACAATGACCAGCTCTGAGATCTCAGAAAGTGACTTAAGCTCTCGGGGTCTCAGTCTCCTCCTCTGGAAAAGAAAAATGGAAGTGCCGATAGTATCTAATAGTATCTACCAATCAGTGTTGTTATGTGGATCAAATTAAGTGAGTTAATGTCTCTGACTTGAAAAATGAGCACTGTGTCCATGCTAGGAAAACTGTAAAGATGTACAGTGACTGAATGTAAATTTTTAAAAAAATAATGAAATACTAATAAAAAGAAAAAATAAGTGAGATAATAATATTTGTAAAAACTGAGACTAATAACAGGGACACAGTAAATACTTTGTAAAGTACATAAATTCTAGGACATTCAGAAAACCCTTTCTGAACCATCCAAAATGGCATCGTCCCTTCTCTGGTCCATTGGCAAATCCCATAATCAGATTGAAACCCCCCCTAGACTCAACTCTGGAGTTCTGAAATGTACCACATGTGTCAACTGCACCAAGCTCACCCTACCATGAAATTCTATTACCCCAATTCTAGCAGCTCGATTTTACCTTCACTCAGAACTCGTCTAGATAAGAGGCTTGAAAGTAATTTCTGAGTCATTCCAGGTGCTAATTGGTTATTGCACAGGGATTACACTTCTCACGTTCAAGGTCAACTGAAATTCCTCTGTGTTAGACGTCTAAGAATAATTTTCGGCAGGTGCTAATTGGTTATTGCACAGGGATTACACTTCTCACGTTCAAGGTCAACTGAAATTCCTCTGTGTGTCTAAGAACAATTTTCGGTCTGTTGGAAACATTTTTTTTTTAATCAACAACTACAGTATGGAGCGATTATAATTCAGGCATAAACTACCGTCTGCAGGCTCTTGCTAGAAATAAAGGGACACATTTTGTTGCATGCAGATAAAATAGTCCTTTACTTCAAGCCAATTACTAGCCCAGACAAATGCTCTGTTTGCGTAGGAAATGTTTTCCTTGGTGTTCTGAACTGTCACCCTAGCTGCCCTAGGACAGAAGAAATAATTTCACAAAAACTGAGACTTCGTTTTATACAAGAAAATACTGGCCTTGTTTTTTCACCCACAATAGTACAGCAGCAAATGGATACCACCTTATCAGAACATTGGAGGAAAGAAATGGGAAAGAATTGCTTTTCTGTCCTACTCTCTATCAAAGGGTATCCAGGTCCCAGCTCTACCTGGAGCGAAGACCTTTTTTTTTTTAACTCACTTAGGCTTCAGTGGGCTCTAAGGGAAGGACTCCAGTTATCAAGGTTGATGAAGAATAACTGATAAACTCAAGGTCACCATGTTTATTCCACTTGTTTCCAGAAAGGGAGTGCCAACTGGATCAGAACCATCACCATAGTCCAACCACAGAGAGAGTACAGACTCAAGACAAGAGATTGGGGATAGTCCTGTTTCTGTCAAGTTGAGGGGCAATGAACACAGTATCCTAGAATAAATGCTAAAATCTTTGCCATGGCCAGCACAGCCTTATACTCTGACCTCACCTACTCTGCCACCCTTATCTTGTTTTCACCCCTTACTCTCTCCGTTCTACTCGCACTGGCTTTCTTTCAGTCACAGTTGCTATGGAACTCCCACCACAGGGCCTTTGCACATGCCATTCTCTCTGAGTGTAATGCTCTTCCCCCCTTCTTCCTTGATTAACTGTTTCCTCCATGACACCTTTCTGATGCTCTTAGGAAAGGTTACATTTCCCTCTTATATGTTCTCAAAGTACTGGATCTCTCTTTCACAGAATCTTACAAGATCATTATTTTTTATTTGCTTGTGTGATTATTTGATGAACAATAATAAAAATTTCATTTCAGTCATGCTCTTTTATACATTTTCTTCAGAGTTAGTAGGCTATTGCTGCTTATTTAGAATTCATGATTTCCTACCAGACTCAGTATATTGAGATTTTATGAGCAAAATAATATATTTTCTCTCATTAAATTATATTAAAATCACTCAATACACATACAAAGGAATCTTTAAAAAGTTCATGGGAAATTTGTACTATGAAAAAAAAGTACGCATGGATCTCTCTTTTTTTGAGAGAGAGAGAGAGTTTCACTATAGGGCATATGCACTTGCCAGAGAGACAGAGAGACAGAAAGTGAGAACTCACCCCCAGGGGGGATGGCCATGCCAAAATCCCTTCTCCTCCATTCTCCTCTTAGAATTTTGGGCATGCATATACATGTGCCTGGCGTGAGTTTTAATCTGCTGGGTCTGGGACTCAAACTATAGTCAAGTTCATGGGAACCCAGTGATGTAACCATTATGTCATCTGCTGGTCCCAAGATTTCAAACTGTGTTGGCATCAAAATCAGTTCACACTCTAATTCCATTGCCCCATGACCTTTTTGAAGTACCTTCATACAATGTACATACTCAAACCATCTTCCGTGTGACAGTTTCTTTTTAAGAGTGGGGTGTATCCTACATACCTTCGACTGTTCTGTAGCTGAACATGGGACTCATCTGTCCCACAGAAAGGAAGAGGTTTATCTGATGCAGGAGCAGAGCTAGGATTATAGCCCAGGCTCAGAGCAAGGGGTTACCTGTTTGACAGACTGAATCTCTGGAACAATCCACCTACATCATAGTTCATGGAATCTCCCACACAATCAATACCATTTGCTGATAGTATACACCATCCTGCCAATAGAGCCCAGTCCAGATTCCATCCATCAGCAAGCCTAGTTCCCTTGGTCTCCCAAATACACCACTATTCTATCCATTTCCTTCACTTTCTATTGCTACTATTCCAGTTCAAGTAACCATCAAAACACCCTGGGCAGTGAATCAGCACTTTTGAGGGAATGTCTAATTTGAAGGAGGACAAGGATGCAGGAATGACCTCACAAGACAAGGGACACTGGATTGGGGTCTTGAAGTGTAAACAGGACATGGAAGGACATTGCAAAAGCTCAGAGTCATGAGTGGTCTTGGTAGATAACGTACCATAAACAGGAAAAACAGCATTGCAGACTTAACTGGTTCCCACTAATGCAGAAAGGAAAACAAAACAAAACAAAACAAAACTCACCTCAAATTTCTGCCGCAATTCTTCATTGCCCTCACTTCCTTCTGGCGGCACAGGCACATTGAAGTACTCGCCTTCCTCCTGGCTCAGTAATTTAAACCTAAAGAGAAACAAGAGGTCAAGACAAATTCCATGACTCTACTTGATATTATTTTGTTGACCAAGATATGATTATAAAAACATATTCTTAAAAAAAAAATGTGCTGGGGTCAGCAGGTGGCATGGTGTTTAAGGCACTGGATTCCCACATGGCTTACCATGGTTTGAGTCCCAGTTCCAGCAGCTTGAAAATCATGCCAGGTGTGTGTGCATGCATGCCCAAAATCTCAAAACGAGAATGGAAGAGAAGGAGTTGCAGCATGGCCATTCCCCCTGAGAGGTGATTATTTGCTCTCTCTCTCTAACTCTGTGTCACTCTAGCAAGCACATGCACCCTGTGGCAGAAACCTCCATGCTGAGGGTTGTTTGTTTTGTGTTGTGTGTGTATGTGTGTGTGTGTGTGTGTGTGTGTGTGTGTGTAGCCAAGTACATTGTTTTTGTAATTATGCCATGGACATTAGAAAACCATGTATATTCTGTGTTTATAGGATGCAAAACTTTCTCTCCACGTACACACACACACACACACAAAAACACAGCATTTTCTTAGTTATATCAGCCAATTACTGTAAGGTTTTACCAATTTTTGTCCATGAAGTTGTTTCTTATTTCTGCAAGAATGCTATGAAGACCCCCCTCTCTGTCAATGCATTCCTCTAGCTTTCTTCTACCTTTCCCTCTCTACCTGTTGCCACCTTGCCCTCCTGGCACTCAGATGTATTCGGATGACCACGGTCTTAAAGTCACATTGCCATTTTTCTCTGCAGAAGTTTTCCCAATGTATTCTACATCGACCTATTGATAAATGGTGTTCCACTGCGGTTAAGCATACAAACCCTGACATCAAACCATGCCTGAGCCCCAAAATTGCCTCTGTCCTTGGCATCTCCTTGGATAAACTTGGATAAGTTGGCTATGTTCTTTGAGCTTCTGTTTGTCTCATATATAAATTGGAATAAAAGTCTCCTTTGCCTCTTTCTTTTTCCTCAGACATACTTTTACTATGTCCTGATACTCCTGCCTCAGCCTCCCAAGTAGCTAGAACTACACAGTCCATTCTTTTCAGGGTGACCCAGGAATGGAACCCATGGCCTTTCAAGGGACCTCAGCCTACTGAGTAGTACCATCAACAAGAGTGTTCTCCTATGGTTGGGTCCAAAGTCTCTTTTTCATAGAATTGTGTGATGTGATGATGTATATAAAATGATAAGCTCAGTGTGTGGCATTTAACAAGTGTTCAATAAATGGTAACACCATCACTATAACTGAAATATTATTATAATAAATACAATGATTTCCATTTGTTTCTTGACCACATAGATGCCTGCAGCTAGTCAGAGGATGAGATGAGAATGAGGAACGAAAAGAGACATTCCAAAGGCACTTGGGTCTTTGGGGGTGGAGGTCAAAAGACCCCAAACTCCTCATGCTTAAGATACTACCTAACCAAGATTTACAATTTCCATCACAATTTTCTTCTCCATTCACAAATCTTAAGCTTCCAATAATAGAGGTAGAGGTGATTCAAAACAGAGATGACAGACAATTTGAGCCTCTATGCCTCCACATTTAATATTAAATTTTCTTCTTCCAAATTTTCATTGAAATTACCAAAAGAAATACAACAGTAAGAGAACATCTGTGTCTTTGCTGGAAATCTAGAAGGGTTCTATCCACACAACAGGGACTTCTGGGACTTTCTACAAATTAAGAAATAGTAAAAGAATACAGGTGGTGTTTGAAAAACTTTATAACAGGACATATGGAAGACTTAGTCATTCAAATAAAGAGAAACATTAAGGAACAGATAAGCACCTTACATGAAACACAACTGTTGCCAAAAGAGAGAAAATTCTAGAAAAAATCTAATTCATATTTCCAATGAGACACAAGAATTTAATGCATCTATGGCAAGGAAACAATATGAGATTGGAAAAGATTACTTTTGGAAGAAAAATATAGTCCCTGGCTTTAAAAATCCATTGGAGACAGTGAATACAGGATAGCTGATTTGTATAATAATCTGTAAATTAAAAAGACAAATGAGAAATTTTTCTGGCAGTTGGTTTGATACTTGTCATATTATATTGGAGTTAAAAACTGAATGCTTTATATCCAGTAAGAAAATTGCATATCAAAATTAGCATACGACATGATAAAGAGAAAAACTGCAATATATCTGTCAGTAAGACCTATTCCTTCTTATATAAAAAGTTGTTATAAACCAATAACAAAAAGGCAAATGACAGGACATAGTCACCTACAAATACATACAAATGAAACACATACATGAATATGTTTGACATAATTAGTAATACAAAATATGTATAATGTTGCATTACATCTTTTTTTTTTTCTTTTTCTTTTTTTGGAGAGGTTTTTTTGCTATAGGGTGTGTGCGGTCGCCAGACAGACAGAGAGAGACAGAGAGACAGAAAGTGAGAAATCACCCCCCGGGGGGATGGCTGCAATCCCTTCTCCTCCATTCTCCTCTCGGGATCTTGGGCACTCACATACACGAGCCCAGCGTGAGTTTTAAGCCACCGGGTCCGGGACGCGAACCGCGGTCGACTACATGGGAGTCCAGCGACATAGCCATTATGCTAACTGCTGGTCCCTGTTGCATTACTCTTTAAAATTTACAACTAGATGTTGACAAGTGTGGGTGAAGTGAAAAGTCTCACACAACATTGATAAGAATATACATTGCTTTAAAAAATGTAGGCTGTTCCGGTAAATACTTTAATAATGCATATATTCTCAAAGCTACCAACATCAGACTTAGGAATTTCTTAGAAAATAATAAAAGCTAAGCACAAAGCTTTCACAATACATATCTTTATGTTTATACGTAACCACTTTGTAATAAGAATATGATCATATGATTGAGACAGATCCACAGAATGGACCACATAAACTATTAAAGGTGATGTCACCCAAGCTTACTGCATGAGAGAAAATGTTCATAATATAATATGAAGTGAAAAATGAAGGCTACCAAACAGTGTTAAAGTAAAATTTCATTTTTTTCATACATGTATGTTCGCACACATAAAAGAAAAGACTAAATAATGTCAATAATAATTATCTTCTCTTCCCTTCTCCTCCCGGGATCTTGGGCCTGCACGCAAACATGCCTGACATGATTTTCAAGTCACCAGGTCTGGGACTTAAACTGCAGTTAGCCATGTGAGAGTCCAGCAGCATAACCCTAGGCCATCTGCTGGTCCCATATAATTTTTTTACTAAAATGCCCATAAAACATTTAGCAACACTAAACATATACTAAGCTAAAACTGAAGGAAAAGGAAAGAAAATGGGAAGGAAAAGAAGGAAAAAGAAAAGAAAAAAGTGCACTTGCCATCTTCTCTGTTTTTAAAGCATTAAAACTGTCATTTAACATTAATAATAAAAATGCAAACAAAATGCTAGTTCTAGAGGATAAAAAGCAAGCTTAAATGAAAGCATGTGAGGAAGGAAATGAAAAACACAGCTCCAGACCTTGACAAAGTACAAAAGCCAGAACGTGACATATCAAAACTTAGAAGATCTATTTATTCCCTTAAATGCTTGTTCATTATTTTCAAAGAACAGAGTAAAGGAGAAGAAGAAGGAAAAAAAAAATAGCAAAATGTTCAGCTGAAATTCCAAGACAACCACAAAACAAACCTACAGACAAGACGAAAACAAACACAAATCCCATAGCTAATTCTTTGAAGAAAAATATATGAATAAATAGAACAGATAAACTTCTGGAAAGAGGAAAGAAAGGAGACAGCATCAATAAAGTTAGGAACAAAGAAGAGGTTTTGACAGCAAATACAGAGAGTGGCAAAGAGGCAGATGCAGGGCCTGGGGCTAGTGCTCTGCATCGGGGCTTTCACAGCTGCTTCTGCCACTTCTGCCGCATGGTCTCAGATAACAATAGCACAGCAGCCTAGCTGGAGGAGCCCTTTCCCTTCAAGAGGGGGAAACTGAGCCTCGGAGTGGGCATGTGACTTCCCCAAGATCTCATGGTGTTAAAAGAACAAGAATCCAGACGTCTGAGATGTGGTATATTTAGGGCCAACATGGCATTGATGTCTTGACCCTGAACTTGAAGGGGACTTTTATTTGCCAAAGTTACCCTCCCAGCTATTATTTCATCAATTTCACAACTATCCTAAGTGTGGATGGCGATGGAGGTGCTATAATCAATCTGATCACTGGCATATTGCCTGCTGAAAAGGCTGACCTTACCCAAGGTCATGAAGCATCCATCCAGTCAGGAGAGCCAAGGTCAACCCCAAGCTGTCTACCCTCCAGCCCTCGGCCTGCCCCTGTATCGGAAGGCAGATGGAAATACAGTCACGTGTAGGTTCTCGCACCATAGAGACGTGGGCCTGAACCCCAGCACTGTCTTCAATGAGCTGTGTGCCCTGAACACATCGCATAACTACTCTGAGCCTTGGGAATGATGCTCTACCTAGAATGGTGGGGAGAACTAAATGATGATCTAATCATCAATGCAGTAATATTTTGGACTTAATTCTGATGCACCATCCCTTATCATTAAACCATTTTTCCTCCTGCTCCTTGTCTTCAGCTTTGGAGGAGCAGACACAGCAGATACTTCCCAGGAAGAAGGCTGTGGCACCCATGAGAGAAAATCCCTCTCTTTGGGACCTGGAGAATCACAGGAGGGAGAAGAAGAGGAAGTGACAAAGAGGTATTTCATGGGGTAGAAGCAAGGAGGCTTTGCATCCTTTTTTTGGGGGTGGGGCGGGAGAGAGGTTTTTTTTGTTTTTTGTTTTTTGTTTTTTTTTGCTATAGGGCGTGTACACTCACCAGACAGAGAGAGACAGAGAGATAGAAAGCGAGAAATCACCCCCAGGGCGGATGGCCACACCGCAATCTCTTCTCCTCCATTCTCCTCTCGGGATCCTGGGCATGCATGCACACGTGCCCGGCGTGAATTTTAAGCCACCGGGTCCAGGACACGAACCGCGGTCGACTACATGGGAGTCCAGCGACATAGCTATTACGCTAACTGCTGGTCCCGATCCTTTTCAGTTGGTATCTTGGCCAGAGACCTCGCTGTGTGGAGGGTTCTATCAACAGCCCACATCTGAGGGAGGGGAAAAGACTGAGGCTCTCGGGCAGTAACCCTGCTGTCCACGAAGGAGACTCAGATATGAGGATTCACAGACAGGCTGGAAGGGATGCGGACTGGCAGTGGTCTGGCGGTGGGACAAAGAGGGCACTGTGCAGAGGAACCTCACCACAAAAGGCAAACAGCCAGGACCTGGGACTCTAGCAGGAAGCTAGAAGGATGCCCCAAGGCCAGGTGGGCCCAGTTCTGCTGGTTGGTTCAGGGACCAGGCAGGATCAGCCACTGAGCTGCTGTGAAGCCCAGACGGTACCATATGCGGCAGAAGGACCTTTTTCCTCATTTATGATGAGGCCACAAAACTGCCTTATAAAATCTAACTCCATTGCAGAAAATAAAGAAGCTGTATTTTTTTTCTGCACATCTCATTAGCGCTGTGTAGACGTGTGACTCCATGGCACCTGGAAATGTTCAGCCCGTGCCTGGCACCTCGTAAGAGCCAATAAGTGGTAGCTACTGCTATTATAATTATTATGATTATGTTCTCGCACGTCTCACTTACACTCCCTGGGGATTGTGCGGTCTTTTTCTCAAATCTCTTTAAGCTTCACTTAAAGAGAAAGAAACACCCAATCTGTGAGTGAATAATGATAGGACCCTGCAAAGTCGAATCATCCATATGTCAGGAAAAAAAATATCCAAAACTTGGGTTAAAAGAAAAAAAAAAAAGATGACTGTGTGACCTTTTAATGTCATACTAGCACATTTTCTAATTAGGTAGCTCCTTCCTCACAGTAAATCTTACTTTGTTTAACTTATTATTCACAATCCAATCGGGCCCAGATGGCCTCCCTAGTCTGCAAAGACTTTTAGAAAACTGAAGTGAGATCTCCCCCCCCCCCGTCTGGTAGATATGATAACCCTGAAGGTTGTAATTCTCTCCCCCTGTTTATCAGCCAGTTTTATATTTAACTTAGGAGAGTTACATCACCATGCCTTTTTCTCCTGACTGTACAGACATCCATTTCTCAAACCTTCTGTGGGATGGGTCATTCCTCCTGCTGGTTTCCTCATTCGTGGGCTAAGGAAGACTCTGACAACTGTTCATGATCTATTTTATGAGAATGATGTTCTTAAGCATGTGTGAACCGTGCTTTAACACACCTTCCCTCTGGTACTCGGTCAGCCCCTGTCCTCTTCTCCTCTCTCATCATGTTGTCATTGATTTGTTATTTGTGTCATTTCTTTTTCAAGGCTTATCTCCCCGCCCATCTGCTGTCATAAGCTAAGCTCCATGAGAGCATGTCTGCTTTACACCTTGATGTATTTCTAGTACGAGAACCTCGTAGATGCTCAGTATCATATTTGAATAAGAGCCCTATGATAAACATGGAGCAGAGACCAGAAATAATGGAAAGGACGTGTGGTCCAGATGGTATATGATCCTGAATGAGACAATTCAGAAATGAAATAATTGGCCAGCCAAGATGGCTCAGTGGTAATGATGCTCCCTGATGCTCAAACCATATGGGAAGGTCTTGGGTTCACAACCCTGACCCACCCTGGGAGTACCCATGATCCAGGCTGGCTGAGAGTAGGGTGGACTATGGCTTAAGAGCCCTGTTTGGGGTACCCATCTCTCTCTCTCTCTCCCCATTCTTTCCCTCTCTCTCTCAAAAGAAACTAAAAACAAAACAAAACAAAAACACCCATTTTCAAAGAAATGAGGCAATTTATCTTGAAATAATAGCAGCCCTGATCACCACTTCTCTCAAGGCTACAATGCTGAGTTGAATTATGTCTT